AGGAGGAGGAGGAGGAGGCTGTCGTCCTTGGGACTCCCCGCCCGACACCCGAGGAGACCGACGGTTAATTCCGTCCTGGATCAACCGGGCGCTTCGCCTTGCAAGGACGAGCAGCGCAGGCCTGAGGCGGGCCCGGCGGACTACATGTCCCGTCAACGCCAGGGGGCGTGTGACGTCACAGGACGTCATACCCACCTGTGCGTGGAGCCCCCCCGCCGCCATCCACGCTCGCCGCAGCGCCCCGAAAGCCGCCATGGTCTCGCTGGCTCGAGGACCGGCTGTCTCGTCACGTGACCGGAAAGGGAGGCGAGGCTCTTCCCGAGGCCGCCGCGGCCATTTTGGTTACGGGCAACGCGGCTTTTCGTCTCCCGGGAGAGGCGCTCTCTAACGCTAAAGGTCCCTTTTCTCGCGATTTCCTCCGGAGTTGACGACCGGAAAAAAATAAATAAAAATGAAAGAAACGACCCGGAGAGTGAAATGCCTTCTGGGAATAGGGCAAAGGTTAAGGAGACCTTATCCACCGTGGCCATATTTGTCACGGGTGCGTCGAGCCTTCCTTTTGACGGAGTGGAGCCATGTTTGTTGCCGGTCGATTAAAAACGGAAGAGGAAGCGCGGCCATATTTGTCGCGGGCAACGATGCCTCCGTAATAGGTTCGGGCAATCCCTCCCAGCCTAGCTAATATAGTACGTTTCAACCTTTGGCCATTTCGAGTCGTGGAGACTTCAACTCCCAGAATCCCTCAGCCTTACGCTTCTTAAAAGATTGGAAGAGCTTTACTGTGGCCCGTTTGGTTTCATTCTACCAAGTGGCCACGGAGGGGCGCTGTGGCACGCGTTACTTCCTCGTTATTAGTGCTAAATTAGGAATTCATTCATTTAATTTAGGAGCGTTAACTCAATTCAACAGGCAGGGTCAACAGCTGCAGCTCCTCACCGTGGCCACTTGGTAGAATGCAACCCCCAAAGAGCCGCACACTTCCGGCTCATATTGCGGCCCCCTAATTTTGACTCCACAATTCTTGATTTGTCTTTCTTTATTTTGGATTTCTGCTTTGTCCACAATTTAGTGGTAGCCATGCAGAGATCAAACAAAGCAAGGAAGGCAACTTACAAGGCCAAGTAGGCAAGTCTAGGATATTTATTTATTTATTCATCGATCCATCCATTCATTTGTTCATTCATGCATGCATGCATTTATTTATTTATCAAACATGAAGAAATGCCCTTCTGGGTTCAGCTCCAAGTGGGGAAAAAGACAGCTGGAGTGGGTTTCTCAGGCATGGCCCCTTTAAGAGGCGTGGACGTCAATTCCAGTGGCTGGGGGATTCTGGGAGCTGAAGTCCAGACGTCTTAAAGGAGCCAAGAATGAGAACTACTGAGATAATCTTTTTGGAGATGACTGGCTTTGTTTGAATTTCTCTTCTATATCTTCTCCTCCTCTTCCTCCTCGTTCTTTTCGTTCCTCTCCTCTTTCTCCTTCTCGTTTGCTCTGTTTCCCTGTCTCTTTCCCTTCTCCCACTCTTCCTCCTTCTCCTTCATCTCCTCCTTGGTGGCTGCTTGGAAAGATGGTTGAATGGTGGATGGGACCCCATGGCTTGAGCTCCTGAACTTTTAGAAAAGGTGGATCACATGCTTCAATGTTGGTGGAGAAGAAGGGAAGGAAAGGAAGAGAAGCTGAGTCCCTGGTTTTATGCCCTCTCTGGCCTTTGATCTTGAGCTTGTGTTCTGATTGGTTGTCA